CGTGATGTGTGCGCTGCAGTTCGGTTTGATGCCCCTTCCCTCGGGAACACGTCCTGGATCCTGTCCCCTCGGGGACAAGGCTCGACCCTGCATCGCCCGACCATGGCAAGAAAGGCGACGGCTGTGAGAGGGATCTGACCAACCGTGGATTGCCATGGGTGCGGCTGTTGGCCTGCGAGGACAGATGTGGCGATTACGCAACTGCGACAAGCGCGAGAGGCGCGGAAGCCGCCGCACCTGGACCGAACATCTCTGGGGGGGGGGGGGGGACGTCGGTCGGCACGTGTCTGACGAGCGTGACGGCATCTGTAGCGTCTCGGAGGCGTGGCTGCTCACGTGACGTGTCTGGGGGCGTTTGTCGGCGCCTGTGTCGCGCCCCGTGCCGTCCCCGACATTCCATCCGTTTCTGGCGTCGGCCGGCGCTGGTCTGCTCGTCTGTCGCTAGCGCGCCAGACGGCGGCGACGGCGGCGACGGCGGTCGGCCGGGCCAGGCCAGGCGGAATCGATCGAAAATAGCGCCGGCTCACTGATGACTACACAGCCAGGTCTCACTGACCCTGACTGGATGACGGTCACTCCTCCAACCGTGGAGTGTTCTTGGGGCGAGACTTGTCACGGCTGGGTCATACGTCGTGACCCCGACTGTCACATGATTGATGTCACGTGAAGTCATTGGGCCAGTTCAGTCGCCCCTTGTGTCTGCGGTGAAATTGAAATACTAGGAAAAGCTCCTTGCAAGTTCTCCTACAAGTCCCAAAAATTTCGAAGTGGCAGTCTGCCGTGTACAGTTGGCCCTTCCCCTGCCAGCCAGCGGCGAGTTATCTCTGAGAGCGTCGCTCTGCTGTGCTTGGTTATCCCCTCCCCTGCCAGCCAGCGGCGAGTTATCTCTGAGAGCGTCGCTCTGCTGCGCTTGGTTATCCATTCTCCTGCCAGCCAGCGGCGAGTTATCTATGAGAGCGTCGCTCTGCTGTGCTTGGTTATCCCCTCCCCTGCCTGGCCAGCGGCGAGTTATCATTGAGAGCGTCGCTCTGCTGTGCTTGGTTATCCCTTCCCCTGCCAGCCAGCGGCGAGTTATCTCTAAGAGCGTCGCTCTGCTGTGCTTGGTTATCCCTTCCCCTGCCTGGCCAGCGGCGAGTTATCATTGAGAGCGTCGCTCTGCTGTGCTTGGTTATCCCCTCCCCTGCCTGGCCAGCGGCGAGTTATCTCTGAGAGCGTCGCTCTGCTGTGCTTGGTTATCCCTTCCCCTGCCAGCCAGCGGCGAGTTATCTCTGAGAGCGTCGCTCTGCTGTGCTTGGTTATCCCTTCCCCTGCCTGGCCAGCGGCGAGTTATCATTGAGAGCGTCGCTCTGCTGTGCTTGGTTATCCCCTCCCCTGCCTGGCCAGCGGCGGGTTATCTCTAAGAGCGTCGCTCTGCTGTGCTTGGTTATCCCCTCCCCTGCCAGCCAGCGGCGAGTTATCTCTGAGAGCGTCGCTCTGCTGTGCGTGGTTATCCCTTCCCCTGCCTGGCCAGCGGCGAGTTATCATTGAGAGCGTCGCTCTGCTGTGCTTGGTTATCCCCTCCCCTGCCTGGCCAGCGGCGGGTTATCTCTGAGAGCGTCGCTCTGCTGTGCTTGGTTATCCCTTCCCCTGCCTGGCCAGCGGCGAGTTATCTCTGAGAGCGTCGCTCTGCTGTGCCTGGTTATCCCTTCCCCTGCCTGGCCAGCGGCGAGTTATCATTGAGAGCGTCGCTCTGCTGTGCTTGGTTATCCCCTCCCCTGCCTGGCCAGCGGCGGGTTATCTCTGAGAGCGTCGCTCTGCTGTTCTTGGTTATCCCTTCCCCTGCCTGGCCAGCGGCGAGTTATCATTGAGAGCGTCGCTCTGCTGTGCTTGGTTATCCCCTCCCCTGCCTGGCCAGCGGCGAGTTATCTCTGAGAGCGTCGCTCTGCTGTGCTTGGTTATCCCTTCCCCTGCCTGGCCAGCGGCGAGTTATCATTGAGAGCGTCGCTCTGCTGTGCTTGGTTATCCCCTCCCCTGCCTGGCCAGCGGCGGGTTATCTCTGAGAGGGTCGCTCTGCTGTGTTCCGTTACCTTTTCCCTGCCCGACCAGCGGCGGGTTATCTCTGATAGGGTCGCTCTGCTGTGTTCCGTTACCTTTCCTCTGCCCGACCAGCGGCGGGTTATCTCTGAGAGGGTCGCTCTGCTGTGTTCCGTTACCTTTCCTTTGCCCGACCAGCGGCGGGTTATCTCTGAGAGGGTCGCTCTGCTGTGTTCCGTGACCTTTCCCCTGCCCGGCCAGTGGCGGGTTACGCCTCGCCGCCGGCTGTGGGTTCATTGATTCTGGCTCGCCCTATCGGTCCCACGAGGTCGCCAGACTCGGGCCGGACTTGGGCCAGTTCGGGCCGGATTCAGGCTAGTTCGGCCGCCCCTGGGGGCGTTCCCGGAGCCGACGAGGGCCGACCAGCAGGCCAGGAGTCAACCGCCGCTGTTATCGGCACGTCGGTCCCGGCCATCACGGGTGGTTGGTGCGGGTCACGGGTGATCGTCACCACCCGTCTCCCGCGCCAACATGGGAGGCGCCACCACCCGACATCCATGTCGATGATCCGGTGTCACCACCCGACACCCATGTCGATGATCCGGCGCCACCACCCGACATCCATGTCGATGACCCGGCGTCACCACCCGACATCCATGCCGATGACCCGGCGTCACCACCCGACATCCATGCCGATGACCCAAGATCCGTACTGACTATCTGTGATCCGTACCAATGATCCGCTATTCGTACCAACGACCCGTGGCCCGTACGACGTCCGGTAGTCCGTTCCAATGGCTCGCGGCCCCACCGACGACCCTTGATCTGCATTGACGAACAGTACGGATCGCAGGAAGACGGTTCGGATTTTGGGTAATTGGCACGAATGACGAACGGTGATCCCTCCGATGCTTGCTGTACAACAGTAAAGAATAGTGGACTATCGATAAGTGACTTGTATTTCTGTGGTTTTGGGCTGTATACACTTAGTTGGCGAACATTGTGGTGTGATTATATTCGGCCGTGTATTCTGGGACCGTGTGTTCTGTGATCGTAACTCGGAACGAGGCTCGAAGTAGTCATAAAATAGTATCATTCATCAAGATATGTCGATCACATAATCAGCAAACAGAGCGATGTCCGCACTTGGATGACAGTCGCTACCAGTCTGACTTGATTCGAGCCCTGAATGGCGTGCTACTCCACATCTGAACCGCTTCAGCAGACGTTTTTAAGGGTGGCGGTCGTATTGATTTCGAATTGGATTTAAATTTGGCCACCGTTTGTTGGACGATCTCCTGCAGCTGCTGCCGCGGGATAGAGCTGAGTTTCTTGTGGGCGATCTTCACTCCCTTCCAGAGATAGCTTACGCTCTAAGTTTGAGGTGGCGATTGAATGCAGAGGAGGTGTAATGTGCTGCTGACGAGAGAAGCCCTGAAGACTGTTTGCTGACCCGTAAGTTGGGCGCCGGCCGCTGGGTGGTTTTTGCGCCCTGAGCTCATCGAACGTTCGCACGGGCTGTTGAAATGAACTGGCGTTTGTTTATTTGGGTTGAAAGCGTTTTCTGCCAGCGATGATCGGTCTATGGCTAGTCACGTAAGATGACGCCATCAGAGGGCGATGGGTGTTTACGTAAGACCGGCGGCATTTTGGCTACCACCAGCCCTTTCTCCATGACAGGTCAGCATTAGTCTAGGGCATCCCACCACGGGTCGTGGAGGGGTTTGGGGGGTAGGGGGGCATCATGACACAGACAGCAGCTGCTCAAGCTCGATCGTTCTGTGGTGCTCTCAGTTTACATGCAAACTCGTCTGTTGATGTGAGGATTTCCGCAATGTGGTGAGACTGCTCACCCAAGCCCAGAGGCGCGCCGTTCTACGAACAAGAGCGGCGGTTTCCCATTAAGTCATTCTAGACCTTCCCCAGAAATGGAGCCACAGGCATCGCGTTGGCAGCTCACCAACATCTTTCTAGGAGGAATAGTTCAGTCCTCGCGTCAGGTCGAAGCTCTCCATTCGCAGACTCTGTTCACTCCAAATTATCCGCTAGCATATCTCACTTCTGGTAGTGGCATTCGAACCGGGCAGTGTGTATTAGCGGCCAGCAGGCCAGCAGACCATCATCGCTCGGACTGTTAGGCCCCGCTGCAACCGTCGGCCGGCCGCGTCGAGGCACGTGTCGCCCCCCGCCAACTGCCGGCGCCGCTACCATCCAATGGCGGCGCCCACTGAGACTCATGGAGGCCGTCGCGCGCCCCCCTAGCCGTCACAGCCGCTGCCAGGTCGCGCCCGTCCGGGCACTGGTGTCGCCGGCCACGCTCCTCCCTCACAGCAAGAATGCGTGCGGTCAGGGCTGCCAAATAGCCCGCGAAGAAGCGCGTTGCGGCCGGCCGTCGGTGGCCGAGGCGCCGCCTCCGCCGCCGGGCAGCGGGCGCTCCGCAGGAACACTTACGCTTGTTTATCCGGCGCTCAGGCGCCTGTCAGCGGCGGCGTCCGGTCCCGGCCGCGGAGGGGGGGGGGGGGGCGGCGGCACTGCCGATCGACCGATGATGGCCACAGCACCCGCAATGCGTGCCGTTTGATGGATGTGTCAAACTCTGCGCAATGAAGCGAGCACTGGGCGTGCCGGCTCCATTTGGTTCTAGCTCCGCCGGCGGCGGCCTTCTGTAGCACGTTTGCCTCCTCAAACTCCGTTGATGGGTCCTCAGACATGTCTATAAGCCTCATGTCGTTGGATGTAGCCCTGCTTCACCTTTCATGCGCTGACCACCAAGGTTCATTGAGAATGTCACGGTGTTTCATGGTTTTGTATGGCGTCACATGTTGCATGGTGTTACATGGTGTCAATGCTGTTACATGGTATTAAGTGGTATGACATGTCAATATTTCACCATTTGCAAGCCTCATCTCGATCCTTTTCCGTGGCAGTGCTGAAAGCATGCCGGTTATGTCCGCTAATCTCCTCCCCCCCCCCCCCCTCTGCCACAGCGCTGCTGGCAATGGACCAGTCGCGTCTTGTGGAGGCCTGCCTCTCGCTGCAGTCGAGCCACCAGGCGCTGCGGCAGCGAGGCCGCGGCCTGCGCTCGCAGGTGGCCGGCCTGAGCGGCGCCGGCGACGCGCTCGAGGCGCAGACCAGCCAGCTGCGCGTCAAACTGAAGGCCAGCGAGGCCGAGGTGGCGCTCACCAAGGAGGCGTTAGCAGGTGAGGACAGTCACCAAGAGGCGTCAGCAGGTGAGGCCGAGGTGGCGCTCACCGAGGGGCGTTAGTAGGTGCGGTGGTGGTGCTCACCAAGGGGTGTTAGTAGGTGAGGCCGAGGTGGCATTCACCAAGGGGCGTTAGTAGGCGCCTCCATGGTGGCTAACGCCACCATGGAGGCGTTAGCAGGTGAGAGGTTGGTGTGCACCATGGAGGCACTAGCAGGTGAGGGGTAGTGCTCACCATGAAGGCGCTAGCAGGTAAGGGGGGGGGGGGTACTCACCAAGTAGGCCCTAACAGGTGAGGGTATGATGTTCATTTTGCTGGGATGTTGACAGCACAATAATGACAGTTCGGACGGATGAGCATCAGCATATATGGAGACAGGCTGGTATCCAGCAAAATGGTGTATCTTGTGAAAGTCAACGTGGACGTCATCAGGAGGAGGGCAGTTCGGGCTGTGCTTTCCAGCATTATCTTGGCCACATGGAAGGACGAAATTTTCAGGAAAACAAGGGTCTTTGGTGTTGGACAGTTACAGAACCCCGCCATTCCAGTCCGCGCTGCTTGGACTAGCATGTATTCCTGTTCGCAGGATTAAAAGGGGGTTGTGCAAGCAGGGGCTCCTCTTCAATATTCTTCCGCTTTCCTTGCAGCGCTCAAGGCTGACCGGAAGCGGTTGAAGGCGGAAAAGTTTGACCTGCTGAATCAGATGAAGCAGCTGTACCAGACGCTGGAGGACAAGGAGCGCGAACTGCGTGATTTCATCCGAAACTACGAGCAGGTCGGACCTCACCTCCCTTCCGCCTCAATGAGTGATGAAGGAGTGGCGAAGCTAACGACGCTAGCAAATAGCTTACGAGCGTTTGGTGATTGTGAATTCGTATTCTCGGGTTGGCTGCCTACCAGTCGCGTTTCATGTACCACATACCTTGACGTGATACTTTGTGACTGTGAAGGCTCCACCAGTCAGGTGGTCCGTGCCGAAGGAGTGGGTACTGTTTTATAACCAGTTGGCGGGTTGGCTCGGAGACGCGAGCGGCCAGCGGTATGAGGTCCATCCTTGCTGTGCCTCGGCACCTGCCGACCCGAGCCAGTGTGTGGCAGGTGCGTCGGCAGCATTGATTTCTATGCAGCCGTCTTTAAGTGGCAGTACTGTGCGCTGCTGCGGACTTGTGTCCTGGCGTCAGCTTAACTGCGTTACGCTGCTGTTTGTCGCTGTCTGCCACCCGTCTCCTTCGCGGGTTAAGTTTGGCGTCTGAACCGAGTGCCCCCTTACGAGCGAGTGTGACGTCTGACCTGGGTGCTCCCTCAAGGTCTGATGTCTCCGACTCAGCCTGTCTGGGTGCGGCAGGTGTTGGGTGCGGGGCTTCGATGGGGGACGATTTGGGTCAGCCGCGGGCGCACGGTGTCTGGTGTCCGTGCTTGGAAAAGTTGAAACGAAGCGGAAAGACACTGCTTCCGCTTTCGGGCACGGCTTTGGTCTTGGCCTAGTGCTTTGTACTACACAAGTGATGGAACCCAAATTGGGAGCGGGGAAGGCATGGGTGTTTTGTATTTTGACTGTCTCTTTCATTTCCATGCATGGCTCATGGTATTTCATTGGTGTTGTGCAATGCACAGGGTATTCGTATTTATCGATATTTCGGTATTTAGATACACTCCAAATCATCCCAATTAAAGGAAAGCATAAGCACTGACGTAATAACAGCAAGAATTGGCATGATCACTATCATTTGTACCCAGCAGGCAGGGAACATCCCTTCTCACTTTTATTGAGCTTGTCTCTAGTTCTTCAAGACGTGTCTCTCCCACCCAGCGGATAAAGGAAAACGACGAGTCGCTGCGCACGCTGGCCGCCGAGCGAGACGAGACAGAGCGTGAGAAGTGGAACATTCTGAAACACGCGCGCGACGAGACGGAACGCTCCGTGGGGCTGTCGGCCGAACTGAGCAACAAGGACGGCCAGCTCAAACACATCACTGAGGAGCTCACGGGCGTGAGTACGGAACGAGCGCGGCATGACGCACCGGGCACGCGACAGCGAAGGCAGCGACGTTGTGCTCAGGGCTGGAAATCGCTCTCGAGAAGTGCGAGTCTTTGTGTCGCAGGATCCCTTGTCATCAGGGGTCGCCAGGGTCCAAGAGTCGCAGTAAACGCTTTCGTTTACTGCGACCCTTGGATTTCCAGAGATCCCCTTAGTGGTCAGAGGGCATGAGAAGTCAGAAGGACCCACGAACCGCCGGAAGACTCAGCAGCCGCGTCGGACTGTTGTGTTTTTACCATATCAAGTGGTACCAAAACACTAGTGAACCCCAGTGAAATTCAAAGTGTGGTCGCGTTCACGGAAGCCACCGGGCACGGGAGGACGTATTGTGGCTTTGTGCGGCACAATATGTCGTCTCATTGTCATTTAAGTGTGTTTCAGTTAGGTGTCCGGTCAGAAACGATAGGATAAAGAGCAGGTGCGACGTAAGATAAGGTTCAAAGTGTTAACAAAGTATACTTTGAGAAGCATCTATGTAGATCTCATTTACGTTTTGCAGATAAATGTCGCAATTGAAAGGCAGGTATTGCATCTGTTCGTCTATGTCTCAGTTGGTTAGAGGGTCTACCGTACAATTGACCAATCCTTGGAGCGATGAGCCTAAGCCCCTTTCGGCGGTTGCTGTTTGCCCAAGAGCGGAATGGCAGGTGGTCGGTGACAGCGACCACACTAAGGTCGGTTGACGTCAGAGGGTACGACGGGCTTTCGGGTGGGGGTTTCGTCGCAAAATTCTGCCCTTGACCCGCAATTTCGCGGTTGGATCGTGGGGTGATGGCTTGCGCAGCAAACGCTGCTTAGCATGGGCGCTGATCCCGGAGCGCCACCAAATCAAAAACTTCTGATAATCGAAAAGTTTGCAAGGGGCTGTCCACACATACGTTTTGCATATTTGGCCAGTTTTTAACTTTCCCATTCTGTTTTACTAAAGACGGCGCGTTGCTGGTCATGAGAGGAAGCCAACGGCATATGGCTTCAAATTTTTAAACGTTGTTGTACTTCAGCAGAATTTGCAACCCCTCTTAAAGGGGTTGCGTAATGTTACGCTATCCATCCCCGCCCTTGCCATGCCACCCGAGCGGACGTGTAACGAGCCGTGACTGTGCCGGCAGCTACGGAAGCAGCTCTCGCAACTGGGCTACTACTCAGACCAGGAGGCGGCGAGCCGGCCGAGTCGCGCCGCGGCGCCGCCGCCGGCCGCCGCGCCGGCGCTGGCGCCAGCGCCGCCCTCGCTCTCTCCGGGCGCGCTCGGCACGCCCAACGGCCGCGGCTCGAGCGCCGACTCCGGAGTTCGAGTCAGCTCTGACCGCGACTCGGTGGCCGCCGGCACCTCGGGCAACCTGAGCGACTCGACCACCAGCGGCGAGGGTACGACTGGGTTCTGTGTGACCGGCTGCGGTGCGTCCCTCCTCCTTCTTTTAACGTTTTGTTGGCGGCCTGTGCGAGCAGCCCGGCGATCCATTGGGGATGACTCGTTCTGTCCTGGCTTTTGCTGACGTCCTTCCAGAACTAAATGTAGGACGTGCTATTGATCACGGCTGGTCTGGGGTCAAGGCCCAGCATTCCCATACCAGTGCACTCTGAGAGGCCGGGGCTCATTTTTGGTTGCTGCTAATTGGTGCTTGGGTAGTTCACATCTGCAAGAGTGTGCAGTACACGATATAGACAAATGTTGAGCATTTCCTGTGGCTGCAACTCACGCGTGAAGTATACCGGTGGAATGGTGTTTCCAAACTTACGGGCATTAAACTTCCTCCTGAAGGCCGGGCTGGACGCACAGGCTGTGTTGTCTTGTTTTGTTGTCACTCATGGACTGGTGTATGTGGGGTGCGGACTTAATATCGTTTACATGTTTTCGTGACTCATATGCTTTTCACGTTTGGTTTTATGTTTTTCGTGCATCCGTCCTAATATTCCTTTGTGTACGCATCCATATACTCTTTTCCAGCTTTGTTTTCTTTGGAGGCGGCGTTGTTGGGCTTGTCTTGCTAACCACAAATAGCAGATCACTAAAATGATTCTGCCAAATAACTATTCGCAGGTTGGCTAGAGAAAGGAGACATCACATTCGGTTAGTTTCCATGACTGTGCCTTAAAGGCCTGTGGCCATATATATGCGTACAATGGAATCAGTCACAGTGCCTTCGTGTCCTGGGCCTCTGGGGGTCGTGCTAAGTGTTCTGTTTTGTAATGTCGTGACCCCATTGTCGCAACAAGCAGAGGTACAGCTGTCCATTGACTAACCTACCGTGTGCTTACCGCATTCACTAGGTTCTCATAAAATGGGACTTGGCATCGGATATGGATGTCTTTGAGATCGAATCAACATTTCCTCAAAGTAATAAACTTGTTGCAAAGCTCACTTGCCACGAATTTCATAAAAATATAAGCATACTAAGCCAAACAATTCCCCAAGCAGCATCAAAGTTGTGGTGTGAAAGTAGTCTACGGGTGTGCTCTAAAACAGTTTACTCTAACTCCACCCGCACTACCTAGCGCCACCTTGAAGCTGGCAGTGTATGCCGCTTGGCGAGAGCGGCCGCCCCACACCGTACCTATGTGCGTCTTCGCGAGAGCGGCCGCCCCACACCGTACCTATGTGCGTCTTCTCTCCGCAGCGGGCGCTCCGGCGCACAACCCGGACGGCGTGCCCACCGACTATGACTCGATATCGATAGTGTCCTCCGTAACCGCGTGCAGTCCCTACTACTACTACGCCCGTACGTGCCCTCCTCTCTCCGTGTGTGGCTGTAGCTGCGCTCCACGTCGTGCTGTGTGAGCCTCCACTGGCCTGCCCACGTGCCCACTCCTGGTGTAGAGCCACAAGTGGCAGGCGCAGAGCCACGTCAGGCGATAGCGCGCGGCTGTGGCAAGCTTACGCATGTGGCACCAATACCTGTTAGCGAAGGCAAGCACGAGCAGTAAAATTCATGATCAGTGATGCTGGCTATCAAAACATTAAGGTCAACAACGAAGATGGATAACGTATTTTGAAACATATGCCGCTCTCTCGCATTCTGAGTCCGTCCCTGCTGCCCTTGAAGAGAATGCCCCAAATTGGAAAATATTGAGGCAAGCATCAGATGTGATAAAATGAGCTCGCTTGTACCTTCTGGTATACTTTATGTGGAAAGACTGCTGTTGACAAAAAGGTCTGTTCTTGTAGTAAATGTTCTCCTCAATGCGTCATTGTTTGATTGCGTCTTGGAATATCTATATGATGTTGAGACACTATCGTAAGAGGCACTAGGCTGTGAGAAATTAGCACTCCGGAACCCTAGCACCCTAGCACCCCAGCACCCTAGCACCCACTTGTAGCACCTCAATCTTCTGAGGGGTGACCATGGCGATGATGGAGGTGTTTACTAACCCAGATATCATTATGTTTTCGTGTTTTGGCTACTCACCGTGGTGCTCTTGTACATTTATTCGTGAGTTTAAGGTCTTTGCTTGCGTTTAAATGCTCGATTGCGGCACCATTTTTAAGCTATCATATTTAAAATATTATATCTGTAGTAACTAGGATCCATGTCCAACTTCCTGCATTACGTAGCACAAAACGTGCCTCGTGATTGAAACTTTTACAACCTGCATAACATCGATTGAGGGCCAATGAACATCGTTATATTTGGAAATCGTGCTCACGAACGCCAGATATGAACGACCCGACGATTGTATTTCAATCGTCCTTGAAAGCTGCACTGCCGCCAATGGGATGGCAGGATCTGTATAACGTTTCTATAGCGTCATGCATGCCTGAATGAGGTTGAAATAGTCTACACGAAATAGCATTCACATATTCGCGGGCTTGTAGCTCAGAAACTAGATGGCTTGAGGTATTAAGATGGGCAGGGCTGTGAACTGCATCGAATGAAACTGAAGATGGCTATTTCAGCTCAAAACCCCATACAAAGGTGGAACACTCCCTTAAATTCACCGCTGCCAGCGGACTTAAGGTATCTGCCGCGTGAATACCAAACTCAGCACCAGCGAGGCGAACCAGACCCACCTGACCATGACCCCTGACCAAGTTACACCAGGTCGTTACACCTGACCAAGTTACGTGTCAAACACCGACCCGCCTTGCGGTCAGGCAATGTGTTTTATCCAGCACCGGGATGCAGCGGTCGGGATCTCCAGCGCTAAAAGACAGAACTGACTGGAGCATCGTAAAGGATATCAAACGAATGCCAGACAGTGTAGCTTTCGTCCGCCTTTGTGCCGCCTGCGTGGTGCCGTGTACTCCACGCGCTTCATAGCTCAGCTTGTGTAGCTGTCGTTGCATGAGCGCACCGAATGACCCCTGCTTTTTGGATGTACTGTCCCTCGGCTGTAGCTCAACATTGCTGTGATGTTTGTTCTGTTTTGCGCCCAGGTATGTGTCTCAGTGTCGAGGTGGTTGAGAAATGATGTCGTTTGGCTTCGTTCGACGCGAGCTAGCGCTGCTTTGCCGCGCCATTGCTGCTGACGCTAAGCCAGCTACGGCGGTTAGCCAGCTATGAACCAGACCCTCTCAAGCTGTATTGAGCTGATACCATCACTAGCTCCAATGATGAAATAAACACAGAGACCCAAATGGCGTCATTGGGTCCCTCCGCGTGCAGCCTACTTTGCAAAATAGTCTTGCATTTCAGGTGGCCCGCGAACAGAGTTGTGCTGTGGCTGAAACGGAAGCTTATTTCACCTCGCTTCGGTTGCTATTGTTCATCTACGTCACCGTGTCACTATGTTTCAGGCAACCTGTCTCTTTCCTTGAGTCCGTGTCTCCCTGCTTCTCGCCTTTCTTGGAGCATTCCTGCTCTGCCCTCGGAGTGCTTCCTCTATATCTGCATGTGCCCCCTGTCTCTATCTCTCCCGCTCGGTAGTCCCCAAATCCTGCTGCGTTTTCCCTCTGTCTCGTCCTCCTCGACCGCCTCGGTCCTGACCGCCTCTCTATCCCTCCCGCCTGGCAGTCCCCAAATCCTGCTGCGTTTTCCTTCTGCCTCGTCCTCCTCGACCGCCTCGGTCCTGAAGTCCACTGTCCACCTAGGAGCGGCGGACGGCCAGTGCGGCTCGCGCTACTCCCTTTCCCCGCCCTGATTCTGACGTCCCGTGTGGTTGGCCGGCAGCGGCGGACAGCCAACGCGGCTCGCGCTCCTCCCCTTCCCCGCCCTGATTCTGACGTCCCGTGTGGTTGGCCGGCAGCGGCGGACGGCCAGCGAGGCTCGCCCACCATGTCGCCCCTCACGCTGTCGCACACAGTCGACGTCGCCTCCATCTCCAAGTCGGCTGAGCAGCTGGACTCGCTTGACCAGCTGGACCGCAAGCTGCGTCCTAAGGGCGCCAAGCAGGGGACCTGGGGCAGCATCTCGCGGGTGTTCTCGCGCCAAAAGCAACGCAAGCAGCTGCATATGGGCGCGCACACAAGTTAGTAGTGGTCTGCTGTGGAGGGGACGTCGAGGGAGCAGGTGGGGTTGACGCCAGCTGACTATGCGGAGATGATCCGCGACATCAAATGCGTGTGCTCTCGGCTACGTGACGTGGTGTCACCAGTTGGCGGACCCGCCAGTAAAGCCCCGCGCTAATGGCGTGTTTTCGTTTTTGACAGATGTCCAGCCTAAGCTCTCAGGAAAGCCCTCATAGCATTAATCAGCTTCTAACCTCCACCGTTAGCTTTCGTCCTGGTGTCAGTCCTCTGCTGTTGTGCCGTGTGTGGGTCACGCATGGGCCGAGGTTTGCTCGCGGGCTCAGCCGCGCCACACTGTAGCCGTCCTAGCCGCTTCCGTCCTCCCCGACATGTTTGTCATTACGTGGTGCCCGTGCCTCCCCCCGGTGTCGGACCGCCCGTAACGCCTCGCCAATAGCTGCCAACCGTGTCCACTGCCACGTCGCATGCCGCCACCTGTCGCCGCTGCTGCGCACCACTAACTGAGCCGGCCGCCGGCGGGCTGCAGACGACGAGACGTGGTCGCCACACTCGTCGCTCTGCTCGTCGCCGCTGACGGACGAGTCGTACGCCGAGAAGCTGCGCCTGCTGGAGGAGGCGCAGCAGCTGCCCATGGAGCGCTGGAAGGCCTCGATGGTTCTGGCCTGGCTCCAGGTGACCCTCGGCATGCCGCAGTACGGCCCCGCCTGCGCCGAGAACGTCCGATCCGGCAAGGTGGGCGTCGCCTGTTGGCCGACTCTCTCCAGCTTAGTCACAGCTGTGAGAGCCGGTGACGCTGTGTGCCGTAATGTACCCGCTCGTCAGACAGTGCCGGTGATGGGATCGTGTACTTTATTGCATACCAACTTTGTAGCTGAATTGTATTTTAGCTGCCATTTGGGGGGGGGGGGGGGGCGAGATGGCTCAGACATGAGTATGATCGTCTTCCACGTGAGAGGCGTGGACTCGATTCTGAGCCAAGCTAAAGACTCCGGGTACTGAAATATGTCGTTAGTGCTCCAGGAAACGTCGCGGGCTCCCGTGCTCCAGGCAACCTTTTTATATCTAACAAGTGACTGTTGTTTCCTGCAATGGTATGGTTTGAAGAAAAGATCCACATTTTAGTGCACACGTACGGTTGAGGAAGTTGTTGCCTCACTTACCTTCCATGAGTACGCTGTTTGGCGGTAAGCACCACGGGAGGTCTCGTGTAACCCCTCCGGTGGGGTTCAGACGTGGCGCCACCTGGCGTCTGCCCTCTGGTCTGCAGGTTATCCCACAGGCGATGGCTGCCCCCGAGCAGAAGCGCTCGCTCCGTTGGACCTCTTTGATAAGTTCGGGCGTGACTTCCAGGCCGCCGGACCCTGCCCTCCTCTCGTGTGTATCTAGCCCAGGCGTCGGAGGGTGTCGCTCCGTTAGCTCCCCGTCCGTCCGCCAGGTGATGCTGGAGCTGACGGACGTGGACCTGGAGCGTGTCCGTTAGTTCCCCGTCCGTCCGCCAGGTGATGCTGGAGATGACGGACGTGGACCGGGAGCGTGTCTATTAGTTCTCCGTCCGTCCACCAGGTGATGCTGGAGCTGACGGACGTGGACCTGGAGCGGGGTCTTGGTATCCTGCAGCCGATGCACAAGAAGAAGCTTCGGCTGGCCATCGAGGAGCTGCGCCAGCCACACCTCTGCAAGTACCCGTACATCTCTCAGCTGAACCACGGCTGGGTGGCGGCTGAGTGGTTGCCCGACGTCGGCCTGGCGCAGTACTCCGACATCTTCAGCGCCCACCTCATGGATGGACGGATGCTGGCGCACCTCACCAAGAAAGACATGGAGAAATACCTGAACGTCACCAGGAAGTTCCACCAGGTGAGTTGGCGCTGCGGCAACGCTGTGTCCGGCGCGGTGAGGTGATAAGCGGCGGCGAGCCAAATGTGGACGAGGCTTGTTTGGAGCGCATTACGTGCTCGTACCGTAACCGAACGATGATGGATGGTAATGGTAAAATGTGGAAGCGGTACAGAAAGGCTACCAGATAAAATTAAATCACGACGGAGGCCTAACTCACATGCGCTGTATATTATGACAGCTGTGTGGTGCGACCCGCTGGTACTCTTCGGCCGTCTGAACTGTGTCAACTCAGGCCCCGACTCTCACCCGATACCACGCTGCGTCGCGTTGTTGGTGGAGCGCTACAGCGGCGTCGGCGGCGTCGGGAGCCAGCACGGCCGAACCCTGCGGCCTCTCCCGCCACCGCCGCCCTCGCCGTCACCCGTGACGTCACCCGTTACATCACTGGTCATGTCACGTGGCCAGGTGTCGATGCTGCACGGCATCCAGCTGCTGCGGCTGCTGCAGTTCGACCGCCAGATCATCTGCGAGCGCCGCCAGCGCAGCGAGCTGAACGGCGACGACGTGCTGGTCTGGACCAACGCCCGCTTCGTGCACTGGGCCCGCTCCATCGACCTGGCAGAGTACGCTGATAATCTCAAAGGTTAGTGCACAGTGGAGCTGAAGAACGTGACGCCAGCCCACTTGTTTCCCTAAAAGGAGGCCGTGTTTCGTGTCATGTTTTATTATGTGTTGCATGTGTTACGGACAGGAAATTCATGTTTTGGTAGCCATTAGTGCTCAATGTAAATTGAATTAACATCGGTTCCTCTTTTTCCATCTTGTTGAGCACCTGATGTAACGTTGGACGTGATGAGGAACCAGTTTGATGTAACCGCTCGTTCGTGTTGACTGGAATTCAAATGGACGAAGTTTCGACTCTTCAGCCGCTGAGTTTCGGCTGCTGTGACGACATGCTGTTGGTGGTGCGGCTGTGGTGCTGCCGCGATCGCCGCCGTGCCATTAGTGACCGGCTGCTCTGGTGTGCGCCAGACTCGGGTGTGCATGGGGCACTGGTGACACTCGAGCTCTCCTTCACGGCGGACACCATGGCCACGGCGCTGGGCGTGCCCCAGTCCAAGAGCATGATCCGCCGGCATCTGGCGGCGGAGCTGGACAAGCTGGTGCGGCCGGCCAGGTGAGCGGCTCGGCCCGGCTCGGCTCGGCTAGTCTGGGCGGGGCTCGGCCCGCCTGGGCTCGGCTCGGCTCGGCCCGGCTCGGCTCGGCTCGGCTGGTTTGGGCTGGGCTCGGCCCGCCTGGGCTCGGCTCGGCTCGGCTCGGCCCGGCTCGGTTCGGCTGGTTTGGGCTGGGCTCGGCCCGCTTGGGCTCGGCTCGGCTAAGCTAGGCCCGGCTTGGCTCGGCTCGGCTTGGCTCGGCTAGTCTGGGCTCACAACACTCCACTAGAGACGGGCCTCACCACTAGCCGGCCGACATCCGGCTGCTAATAATTAGGTCTAGGTCTTTATTGCCAGGTGCGAAACAGTCCTTGTTTTCTCCTGCGTGACTCTAAGCCTGATCATTACTCAAAGCGTTATTGAAGGCGAGCATCTGAGGATCCGCCTTCAGAGTAGAGCGTGTAGCTTGATAACACCGGCCAGCATCTGAGGATCCGCCTTCAGAGTAGAGCGTGTGGTTTGATAACACCGGCCAGCATCTGAGGACCCGTCTTCAGAGTAGAGCGTGTGGTTTGATAACACCGGCCAGCATCTGAGGATCCGCCTTCAGAGTAGAGCGTGTGGTTTGATAACACCGGCCAGCATCTGAGGATCCGCCTTCAGAGTAGAGCGTGTGGTTTGATAACACCAGCCAGCATCTGAGGACCCGTCTTCAGAGTGAAGATCTCGCCAGCGTGATATGCACGGCTTAGGATTCTTGTACAACAGGTTTTTGGTTTCTCTCATAGTAGTCGAAATGGCGTATAGAATCGTTAATGACTCGATCATTTGAATGCGCCGTAAACTGAGATGTTGAATGCCCATAAGACGCTGTGCCCCATCGAGTGACAGAGGTAATGGGGATCTTTTCGCACCCGATTCAAAACCCTGGCGCTGTGGCAGATGTTGACCTTTATTCGCGGTGGCTGATGGTGATGGCTAGCTGATAGTGTGCCCCTGTCACCCGTCCGCGAGTGCGCTGGTCGGCTGTTGTCCTGGCTTGGCTGGCGGGCTGCTGGTGAGCTGGCACCGTCGTCAGCGCGCTGACCGGCGCTGACCGGGGCGCGGCCGTCGCAGGGTGCTGCTGGACGAGGAGGCGCGGTACGCGCGCTGGGAGCAGGAGCGCCGACGCGCCGACCGGCCGGCCGCCGCCACCCTGGGCCGACCGTTCTCGCGCTCGTACGCCAGCGGTCTGCAGCGCAGCTCCGACAAGGACAAGCGCGGCTCCAGTCTCCGGGTGAGGGCTGCCGACGCGGCCGACGCGGCTGACGCGGCTGACGCGGCGGCCGACTGCTGACGGGCACAAGGGCAGGGGAGCATGACGTCAGCCGCGGAGTCGGGGGGTCTCGAAACTACTGCAGAATATGACTCATGGTCAGATGCTTGCGTGCCAGAGACTCGCCAGGGATGCGGGACCCGAATGGGAGGGACTGTGTGCCAGACCCTCGCCAGGGATGAGGGACTCGAATGGGAGGGACTGTGTGCCAGACCCTCGCCAGGGATGAGGGACCCGAATGGAAGGGACTGTGTGCCACACCCTCGCCAGGGATGCGGGACCCGAATGGGAGGGACTGTGTGCCAGACCCTCGCCAGGGATGCGGGACCCTAATGGGAGGGACGGTGTGCCATATTCTCGCCAGGGATGCGGGACCCGAATGGGAGGGACTGTGTGCCATGCCCTCGCCAGGGATGCGGAACTCGAGTGGGACGGTAGAAATCAGATCAGGCTTGTCTGAGAAGTAATCACTGAGTGTGTAGAGGCAAGTGTTATCAGATCCACCGTGTCCGCTGTTTGATAACTCCTCCCCCCCCCCTCCCGATGACAACCTTGCAAGTAAACTGGTGCATGATAGGTAAAGAGGCACTTCAGGAGTGGCTGGTTATCTGTGATATATGTGATATTGTATGTTCAACGTTTGCTAACGAGGATGAGGGGGTCATGACGTTGTGCCTCCTCTCTGCCATGAAATAACCTAACAGTGGTATGCCCTCCAATGAACTCACCTTCTGTCTCTTTCGCGACGGTCTGACAGAACATGCAACTCCAGTTCATGCACAAGAAGGTTTGCACTTCCATAAACTTGTAGTGTTTCCTGTGTAGTGTCGACGCTGTCCTTTTAGAATCGTTTGATCGTCTCAGCCGTGTGAGAGGTGACCCTGGCCCAGTTTATGGCGGGGCAGCGCGAGTATTACGGGCTGGTTACAGTGGAATTCATGTAGCATTGAGTTTAATTTTAGTTGAAGCAGATTCCAGCCATACCTGGCTTATTTGCTAATATTCGTTTGTCGCAGGACTAGTGTTCATATGTTGGCATTCGCACCGCAGTGGCGTATCTAGAGGACGTCAAAAGGCCAGAACTACTTACGTCATGCTCCTTTGGTTTATGTCATCGACCCTTTTACTAAAATGAAAGCGAAGGTAAAATAAAATGCCTGAAACGCCAGCCGCCAAGGACTGGTTATTCTAAATTGCCTCTAAACACGCCACTGTTCCCCCCGTCTCAGTACCCGTGCACATGTTTTTGAGACCCTTACTGATGCGTTCTACCGTTTTTAAAGCCCACCGCATGGTGCAGTTCGCAGGTAATTAGCTCTACTCCTGTCATACATGGTGGCTGTCTTACGCTCTGTTCACTCATCCCTGGCTACTCTGTTAAGTAGGCGAAGCAGCGTCGCTTCTAACGTGCTCTAAATGCATGCATAGCGGAATGGATCCTTCTCCAACGTCGTCACAACACCCCCCAAGCTCACGCAGCGCTTTTGTCTTACAACTCTCCAACACACCCTGTGATGTTTTCGTGCGTGCAATGCCGATGGCATGTATGCTTATGTCATGAATAGTTCTGGGAGGAAATTGAACACACGTGTCGTGGATGTACAGTTAGTTCCATTTTAGATATGTCACGCTACCTTTTGTGTCATGTGCACGACGGACAAACAAAGAACCTGGGGCCTTGCGTAGAACGGTAAAAAAACAGGCAGTGCGATTTCAATGGAACAGCGCGAGTTCTTAAAGAGCAGTCTCTTTTCGGACCCTCGATCCGAAATGTAGCAATTTATTTCCGTATCATTGCAAAGTCACTCATGTTATTCTGCGAAGACAAGTCTTGTTCATTCGCCCATTTTTTTATGGTAACATTCACGCAAATTGTCTTGGCTGTTCGGTGAATCGCTTTGGTAGGCCAAATTTGAGGCTCTGCAGGGTGTTTTTAGGCGAGGAAAAATATTGTAAGCCATAAGTTTTATAACTAGAAATTTATCAAAGCTGTCCGTTCATTTTCCCCATAGATATTGTTTAAAATCCTTTGATATCAGGAACTGAAATGTCTGCGTACCTGATGCAATGAGCTTATCGAGGGAGAAAGAGCCATTATGGGATATGTAACATCCTTCTGTTGCGTATCACACAATAAGTAAATTAATCCATGAGAAGCGGGCCATTGGGAAGCAGTCACTGTGCAAGACATAAGCGTGATGTTTCTCATTGGGGTGGACTAGGTCACACATGTTCAGTACTCAGACGGGAACAAGAAACGTTGGCGACGTCTTTGCCTATGACTTCCTTTGTAATGGTGAGAAAGCGGTATGATTGCAGTGACGGCCCTCAAGTTTTCCTACATAAAATACGAACGTGATTATATATATATATATATATATATATATATATAATCATATATATATATATATATGTGTGTGTGTGTGTGTGTGTGGTGCGTGCGTGCGTGCGTGCGTGCGTGCGTGCGTGCGTGCGTGCGTGCGTGCGTGCGTGCGTGCGTGCGTGCGTGCGTGCGTGCGTGCGTGTGTGTGTGTGTGTGTGTGTGTGTGTGTGTGTGTGTGTGTGTGTGTGTGTGTGTGTGTGTGTGTGTGTGTGTGTGTGTGTATAAGCACAGCTTCCTGACTTTGTCCGCGGTGGCGGCGCTGCGCGTACCGCGTTCGAAAGGTTAAAAGAAACAATCGGGAATACTCTGTAAACAGTCCACTCTCTGGTCTGGAGACTACGAAAGAGCTCCCAGACAAAGGAACGTGTTCTGATACGTTGTCTACGCTTAGACCTGAAACCAGCTTCCATAAACAGCCGTCATACTGCATGGCCTATTTTTTACGTGACCTGTCTACCCACCCAACCCCATCACTGACAACACGTCGCCAAAAGATATTCCTCAGCGTTCTTCCCCACGCAGATATTTTCCTGTACAACTGTCGATCTCCGACTCAGCTAACGCGTACTGGCTGTGACCGATATAGTGCCGGCCGTCGCTGCCTGTACTCAACGCTCTTCCCCGCTCTGACCGTACTGTCAACACTCAGGTCTACCCTAACCCAGCGCCCCGACACCGGACCCGGCCGGCGTCCTGACCCGACACCATCCGGCAGGGGTCGCTGAGCCGGGCATTCGGCCTGAAGACGCGCCAGGAGCTGCAGCAGAGGGAGCCGGTGTACGAGACGCCGCGGGCGGCGGCGGCGCGCGCGGCGCCCCCGCCGCCACCGCCGCTGGAGCGGCCGCAGTCCGTGGTGACGACCAGCAGTGAGTCGCGTGTCGAGAGGCAGCACCGCCGCATCAAGTCCATCAGCGACATGGAGACCATCACCGTGACGCCCGTCTGAGACCCGGCAGAGACGGCGCACTGCGGCGCGCGCTGGTGCAATACGGCAGCGGTCGGGCCGCGTTTACTGCCATCTAGCGGGCCAGTGAACACTTGAGCACGATTTTCGCCGGTGAGGCATTCGCTACGAATGGGTCAATGGATGGTGGACGCGCGGGAGTGCTGATACCCGGGAACTTCTGGGCTTGGTGACGACGACAGGCGGCAGCAGTGCACGTGCGGCGACGTGCGTTGTGCGGGGCGGCTACCCCCCGATGAAGGCCGCACGTCTCGTGCCCCTGTGATACCGGAGACAGCACAGCCGTCGTTTGCCAAATGCTCTAGTCATGCCCGCGGGCCGGGGTCGCCCCCGGCGTTTTCCGCGCCGCCCCTTTCCTCCCCGCCTGTACAAACGGTGTCCGGCGTCGGCCAGAGGGCGGCGCTCGCTCAAGTCGGTCGGCCGCGCCGCGGGGCTCGGGTCTCGGTCGGAGGTCTCGACCTCAAGGTGAAAACCGGCCTCGCCGGCCAGACCCACACTTTATATTGCGGAGACGGTGCAGCGCTGGTGGCTAAATAAAGCTTTACATATCCACGTATGGTGCTTGGTCCTGCGTCAATGTTCTGCCGCAGAAACTCTTGTTGGCAAGTCACCAATGACATCTGATTCAAGTAGCACATAATTCAGGAGCTCCATGTATTGTCGACAGGCGCATACAACTCTACCATTTGGGATGGAATCAGGAAAGACATCATCAATGCGCCCAGCGTAGGTATTCCATGGCAAGCCCAATGCATCAAATCACCAAAAGACAGCTTGTGGCCTGTTTTGCTGCACTGGTTTCTCCCTAGCTTAAACCTGTAATGAGCAGCTGGACAGTAGCGATTCCCAAAGGTGCGACACCACAATTAATTTGAGCTGCTTTTGGACGCATGACAGGATTCTCGAGTCCCAGTAGTTTGAGGGCGACTTGCTATGAATATGCGAAAATGAAGTTACCAGCAGTTAGCACCAAAATATCATGCACAACATACAGCACGTTAACCCGCATTCGCTTATCGCTTCTTGAGGCCGCTGAATCACAATGTTGTGTTCTGTTATCCAAGGACAGGCGTCAGTCCACACTGCAGCACACTCAAATGGTTAACGCATTTAAGCACGATGTCCCCAATATAACTCCAGCGGCACAGACTTAGTGCCGATCGATAAGTGTCACACCACATGGTCTTTACACCGTGTTACTGATTCAACACATCAGGTGAATAGGGTTACTGATCAGATACTGCTTGGACTCAATGTCAAATACCAGTACCAAATAGTCAGCTGCCGGTCTTGATCAACGTGCCTATTGAAGACCATACTTCGGTGGCTGCAGACGACTGCCCTTGACCGGGCCCCATGACCGCTGGCCAGACCGTTTTAACCATGATAGAACGACAGGTAGAGAAAGACAGGTACCCGGCAGAAAGATATGGCGAGAAAGGCCGGTACCCTGCAGCCCGGACCTGCGAGCACAGACCGGTACCCTGCACGCCCCCCGACCTGCCGAGCCAGGACCGGTACCCTGCCGCCCTAACCGTCGAGGCCAGGCCGGTACCCTGCCGCCGACCTGCCGAGCCAGGCCGGATACCCTGCCGCCCGACCTGTCGAGCCAGGCGGTACCCTGCCGCCCCGACTGTCGAGCCAGACCGGTACCCTGCCGCCCGACCTGCCGAGCCAGGCCGGTACCCTGCCGCCCGACCTGCCGAGCCAGACCGGTACCCTGCCGCCCGACCTGTCGAGCCAGACCGGTACCCTGCCGCCCGACCGTCGAGCCAGACCGGTACCCTGCCGCCCGACCTGTCGAGCCAGGCCGGTACCCTGTCGCCCGACCTGTCGAGCCAGGCCGGTACCCTGCCGCCCGACCTGTCGAGCCAGGCCGGTACCCTGCCGCCCGACCTGCCGAGCCAGGCCGGTACCCTGCCGCCCGACCTGCCGAGCCAGACCGGTACCTCGCCGCCCCACCTGCTGAGCCAGACTCGCGCGTACATTTCGAGGTCTATCTCGTCCCCTGGATCCTGCGGCCCCCTTCACTGTGCGGGCGTGTCCATCACCGTGATCTAAGGCATTTGAGCTACCACGGCATCGCTCTCCATATTCTTCATCAGCCTATAATAGAATCGGATGCAGTTGTGGTAGTTCTCGACGGAGATCCTCTCGTCGTTGCCGTGGAACATGCCGAGCTGATCCGGCCGCAGCACGATGGGGTTGAAACGGTACACGTTGTCGGTGAGGTGGAGGTAGTGGCGCGTGTCCGTGTTGGCCACCATGACGGCCGGCGCCGTCAGAACATCATCGCCGTAAAGCTGCCGCACAGTGCCGGCTAGCAGGCCGAACGGCGCGTCATCCTCCCCGTACGGCGAGATGGGCGACGCCGGCGAGTGGTGCAGAACTTCAAACTCCATCTCCGGGTCTGAGATGGCATTGCGGTCGCACGCCATCACGTCGTCGCGGTCCTGCAGCGGCGAGATGCGGTGGTTTATGATAGCGCTGGCGTGCGCCGGCACCACGTTCTCCTTGTACCCACCCCTGAGCACGGTGACGGCGGTGGTGGTCTGCACGCTGGCGCGCAAGGCTGGGTTCTTCAGGAAGGCGCGCTTCAGCACGGCGCCAAACAGCCACAGATTGGCGTAGACGAGCCGGAACGGCGGCGACGCCACGGGCCCCATGACGCGCAGCAGCTCCATCTCGGGCCCGCGCCCGAACAGCACCGGCTGCGGGTCGGCGTGCAGCCGGTTGACGGCGCGCGCCAGCCGGCCGACAGCCGTTGGAACCGGCGGGATACTCGAGTGGCCGGCCTGGCCGCGCGCCGTCACCTCCAGCGCCAGGTAGCCCTTCTCGCTCACGCCGACCACGGCCAGTGGCTGGCGCACTCCCGGAAAGAAGCCCTGCATCAGCGTGATGCCCTCGTCGAGCACGAAGAGCGGGCGCGCGCCGCGCTGCTCCAACAGGTGGCCAATTCGCGCGGCGCCCTCCCGCCCCGACACCTCCTCGTCGTGCCCGAGCGCCACGATCAGCGGGCGGCGTGGCAGGTCGCCGGCCAGCAGCCGCCGCTCCAGGCTCTCCAGGATGGCGTGCGTCGTCTGCTTGACGTCGATAGCGCCGCGGCCGATGATGTAGCCGTCCTGGACGAGGCCGTCGAACGGCGGCCAGCTCCAGTGCTCTTCGACGACCGGCACCACGTCCATGTGCGAGAGCAGGAGGTAGGGCGACAGCTGGGGCTCGCTGCCGGCCACCGTCAGCAGCAGGCTCAGCTCGTTTACCACCTCGACCGTCACCGCGTGCGAGCTGAACACCGTCGGAAAGCCTGTGGCGGAGTCGTCAGTCTGTCACAGGGGAACGGCCCGCTCAAACGGCGGAAGCTCGGCAGAGGCATTGCTTGAAGCGGACCAACCAAACGGATGTATGCCTATGCATCATTAAAGAACGTTTACGGGCGGAGTTTAAATCCAGCACCGGTATGAAAAAGAAAAACATTTCATCCTGCTTTGAGACATTCAATAATAACTGCAATATTTGAACCCGCGTTGAGCCCCAATGTTCCGTTGAGTCCCTATGCCCCGCCGCACCCAACCGGGTGCTGACGCGCCGGCAGAGGCTCCGCACACGACTCAGCCGTGCTGATGGTACAACAGACCACTTACTCACCACGAGGTGTTGGTAGTATCCCGGGTCACCAACTGCCCTTGAGGTGCTGGTAGTACTCCGGACCGTTTACTGCCCCCGAGGTGCTGGTGGTACCCCGGGCCGCTTACCGTCCCCGAGGTGCTGGTGGTACTTCAACCGCTTTTTGACCTCGAGATGCTGGTAGTCCTCCAGGCCGCTTACTGTCTCCGAGGTGCTGGTGGTACCCCGGCCACTTGCTGCCCTCGAGGTGCTGGTGGCAGTAGCGTAGGCAGAGGGGGCACAGGAGACGTGTGCCCCCCCCCCCCCCTCCTCTCAGGTTCCCAAAACCCAAAGGAACTCAAAGGGCCCTGGGAACCTACGATTAAGGGCCAGAAGACAGCTGAAGGTCTCATTTACAGGTCCCGGCCCTCAGGGCTGGGCACTTCAATGCCAGTCAGAGGGCCCTGCGCGCTGATCAGGGGCCCACTGAGGCGATAAGGACCTATATTTCGGCCAGACGCCACCAGTAACGCACAGTCGGCTCGGGGGCCGCATGGGCCTAAGGGCCCATTTCTCAAGCAGGGGCAAAGCCGGAACCAGCTATTTACATTGCTCGGCGCTCCACAGCGCCTAAGGGGCCCCGTGATGTCAAGGGGCCCTGAGTCGGACAGAGGCGGTGTTCGTGGAGATCCGAAGAGCCTGTAGGGCCCACCGAGTTCGACGATCAAGGGCGTGATTGGAGAGTCTAAGGGCATAAAGGGCTGGTCGGAGTCTTATTCGGGGGCCCTGACCCGCGAAGACAGACCCTCAAATAGTGGTCAGAGGGTCAGGTCAATTCTGACTGAATGTTAAAGATTTCCAGGTCAAGATGATTTTGCCATCTTAATACAAATTGTTGACCCATTTTGCTTTTCACTTTACATTCGCGTAATTCTTGCTATCTCTGTACTACCCAGACAAAAAATGCTGATAAAGTTTCTGAGTTCTGTTGGTTTAAAAAGTCCAGTGAGCCACTGTAAAAGGAAGAGCGCCAGCGATTTATTTCATGCAATCATTAACGCATGATTTCGTCAGTTAATTCACTATAAACTTAGGCAGAACTGATCTCGCGGTAGCGTCTGTAGAAAAATCTTCCAGTTCAAAAATATTCCGGTATGAATAAAAATATTCCGGAAACTATTCCAGAAAAACTATTCCAACTATGAAAGACAAAAATGTGTAATATATATATATATATATATATATATATATATATATATATACATATATATATGCATATATCTGAGAAAAACGTGTCCTCAATAACAAAAGGGTCATATCCGGCGATTTCTTATGGGGGGGGCCTCTTACTGCCAGGAGGCCCTTTGTCAACCTTGTGCCGCCCCCCCCCCCCCTTTGCCAAGGCTCCGGCTGCGCCTCTGGCTGGTGGTACCCCAGGCCACTTACTGTCTCCGAGGTGTTGGTGGTGACCCGTGCCACTTACTGTCGCGGTGTCGGTGATTCCCTGGGCCACTTACTGTCGCGAAGGTGCTGGTGGTAGCGAAGCAGCTGCTCACGCGGCGGCGGGTCGTCCCGGGACGTTGAGACGGTGGGAATGCGCAGGCCCTGGGCCAGCCGGTCCTCGCTGCCGCGCAGCGAGGCTGGCTCGAGGTCGGCGTCGCTCAGGTCGGCGCTGCTGAAGCGGTAGCGGCGCCGGCGGCAGCTGAGCGCGCGGCCCGCCACTACTGACACCAGCCCTACTATCAGGGTCAGTGCCACCTTGCCGGCCGTCACAAGGTCCCACATGATGGCAGGGGGGAGGGCAGCGGTTTGGAACGCTACCAGCCGGTGACGACGGGATCGGCTCACGACGGGACCACTTCGCGTGACCGCCGCCCGGCTACAGCTAAGCACTGCTTGGGTTATCGTCGCCGCCCCAAACACGAGCGCACCGTCGGCCTCGGCCGCCGTCAAGGCCGTCAGCACTGGCGTATCAGGCGGCCCGTCTCGGTGCGGCCGACCAACCAACGGCCTCGGTGCGCCCCTCCCCGCCGTCACACCCGCTCAGAGTCCGGCCGACCGAGCGGCGCGCGGCGAGCCTTAATCTGGTTATCGCCAGTCTGTAGCAGACGGCGGGCGCGCCGCTCCACCCAATACACATGTCCGCACGTCGATGGTCCGAGAGATGGAGGTGAGGAAATTGGCAGGTTCGAGTCCGGGCAAAACCCGGCTCGCGGCGCAGAACTGACAACGGACCCCATGCAAATGCAAATTGTCAACTTTATTTCCCGGACACAGTGAACGGCCCGTTGCATAACAATGACCATAAATCTCTTAAATTCACCGCCAGGGCAATCGCGGAATCCCAGATCCGCGGCGTGGCCTCGAGGGGTGGCGATTCGATCCGTTCCACAAAAATACCAAAGTAAACATCAGAATGCGCGGATCGATCCACTCTACAAAAACATCAAAAACACAGAAATCAGGATAGAAAAAACTTGGCTGGTTGGTGACATGGGAACCGGGAGTAGCAATCTATTTCGGCACAGCGCTGATAGCCTTGATTACCGAACCGATCAGGATAGTTGCATGCGATATGCTCGACCCGTCGACGAAACACGAGTTTCGTTACACCACCTTTGCGTGAAACCCAACCACCAAATCGATCTGGTGTTTAAAAGCCGCCAAAACCCCAGATCTCGAAATAGCTACGCTCGGCTCGAACAGTTGTCCGTAGAGCTCAATGAAAACTCCTGCATGCTGCTGCATTTCACCCGGACTGTGCGGTTAACTTCAGCAAAGTTTAGATGGGATTCATAAGCTGTATTGAATTTTGCGGACATAAAGCGGGAACGGCCTTTGTGTAGACATGCGGAGATCACAAAAATACGTCTACTCACAACCATACACAACAAAACAATGCAGTCCTCAAGCCACAGACGAGTCAGAACGCCCCAGATTACACGCTAATGGTTACGCTGTGGATTGGAAAGCCTATCCTTGTCTTGCAAAAACGAGCTACAAAGTTACGATCACCAACCGATAACATGATCACTGTTGGACACAGACCGCTCGGTGATCAGTTGAAGCGCTTCGTCTGATAATGGATCGGCTCAAAGAAAACCCAACCATCGCCATTGTGTACAACAGCTAGCTGTACGCAGCGCAACTCCGACCCTACGAACAATGACTGATCGGGCGCCTGTTATAAAAATGTCGAAAACAGGGTCATCTAAAAATCGCAGCATAAGTCGGGATCGTACCACTTAGGCAGTGATGGTTTCACACGATACATGTGAAGAGTGTAAGCGATCGGCCCTGTTCCACGCTATCCTGTCCGTGATGCAACAGCCCGGCGTGAGGCTCCCCACGTCCCCAAGTCACGATGAATATGTAGTGGATAGAGTACAGCTTAAAGCGTTTCACCCGCATAGTTCCCCACGTCCCCAAAGCACAATGAATATGTAGTGGATTAAGAGCGCAGCTTAAAGCGTTTCACCCGCATAGTTCCCCACGTCCCCCCCAAAGCACAATGAATGTGTAGTGGATTAAGAGCGCAGCTTAAAGCGTTTCACCCGCATAGTTCCCCACGTCCCCAAAGCACAACGAATATGTGGTGGATTAAGAGCGCAGCTTAAAGCGCTTCACCCGCATAAAGTTCCCCACGTCCCCACAGCACAATGAATATGTGGTGGATTAAGAGCGCAGCTTAAAGCGCTTCGCCCGCATAAATTTCCCCACGTCCCCAAAGCGCGATGAATATGCGGTGGATTAAGAGTACAGCTTAAAGCGTTGTATCCGCATGAGGCCCCCCACGAGGTATTCATTACTAATGTCACTGTCCAACGGTTCCTCACACTCACACTCACACGCTCACGCCCACGCCACCAGAATACGGCCAAAATGATATTGTCCGGACTGGACGGATCAGTCCAGTTTACTATCCTGATATGCAGCTCCGGCTTTACTGCCATCGGACATGTGAAGCTGTGGCACTTGCAGATTTCGTCGCTCTGCATCCGAATCTTCAGTCGGTTATACCCATCTGCTTCAACATGCTAATGGCTTCTTCCTTCGACTGCAACCAGGAGGGGCCTTGATCATCATGAGAAGAGGTAAAAGTCAGTCACAACAAACTCTGTCGACAAACACTTGTGCTTCAATTCAGCCGCTTTGATTTGCTGCCAAAAAAAAATCCTGGGGAAAATGTCCAAAATTGGACTATACAAGCACGGTAGCAATTCCAAACGTATTCCCTGTTGTAGATTTGTTTGGAACGATCAGTCACGATCGTCAGTAGTTGTGAAATGACGGAAAAAGTGGTCACCAGCGACCTAAGCCGTACCTAACCATGAGCTCCTTCATGGTTTGGTCACGTACCTCTTCATCGTCCGCGGTCTTCGCTTCAAGGGCTCGAACCATCTTCAGGTACTTTATTGCGTTTTCCTTGTCTTTCAGTTTTTGGTAACACTTGCCGATCATCATGAGATTGCGACTGAAAAAGAAATACTTCATTGCGTCCAGACGACCAAGATTAACCCAGCGCAGGCTCGCCGGAAGAGCGACCTAAACATTCTTATGCGGAGTTTTAGATAAGACGCGTCTTCAAAGCAGTTCACGAACAACGATGTTGAATCAGAATGGTATGAGGAACAAATGTAATGGCATACAAACCGCGCCAGGATCGCTTCAAAATTGCTCAGGAAATCAGAAACACTTCCTGGGAATTCAGTGTTAGAGCAAAAGAGCGAGGTAACGTTGTATTGCGCACTGAATATTTGCATTGAAACGTGCAATAGCAAAAACACTGTGAATGAGTGGTAGCAGTTTATTGGGTGGTTCTAGCGGGCTGTCATTAGCTGACTTCGGCTATGATTACTTCAAGCCTTATCATGTATGATGTATCCTTGCCAACTGCATAACACGATTCCTGCCGGGTCTGCACCGCCTCTTCGCCTACTTATTTACCTTTGTTTGGTCTTGCTAGCTGGGAGCGCAGCGACTTGATTTTATGTTTTCTGATGTTAAGTAAGGTTCTATGCGTCGCTTGGATAGAAGGAAGGGCGCTCCTGGCTATCTGCTCTTGGGTAACGGCGCAGAAAAAGAAATAGGACTGGGCAGAGCATCACGATAAAACAAATAAGGACAGCAAAACGTACCTCTTGATTGGCCAGGCGAGACCCCGCCCTGCACTCAGCTGTCTGAAACAACGGTAAAAACATTAAGAACGTCACTAGCGACCCATGTCAATGAAGAGATGAGCTCCACTGCAAGCAGATGCCGTTCAATCACTGCAAGCTGATGCAGTTCAGTAGGTAGTCTGCTCACGTGGCGTCGGTGCAGTACTCCACAACTAGCATCCGGGTACAACACACAACACGGATGTTGAGCTTCTGAAGACGATGCACTTGAAACTTCAAGCAAAAATCGTGATAATGGTCATCGGCAAGGTACACACCCCGTAGTCAAACCCTTTCACCCAGGTACGCTAAGCCCGAGAGCCGGCGCTGATGCGGAGCTCACCTGAGCGGCGCCACCTACACCGTCTCGCACCTGAAACCGTCCGACAGCTGATCCGCCTTCAGGAAGTTGTCGAGCGCCTGCTGGAAGGTGGCCCTGGGCGGCTCGCCGTACACCACCGTGGCCAGTTTGCGCATCACCCACGATATGTCGGCCACGCTGTACTCCCACATGGCGATCAGGTGCCAGTTCGTGGCGTCGTCCGGACCGTACTCGCACGCCTTCTGGTGACGGAAACAGTCCCCAGATGGTGTGAGTGGAATGGTGGCGCGTGCAGGGGCGGCGGCCAGGTACACACTCCTGATGGTGGGAGGGGAGCGGCGACACAGGCAGGGGCGGCGGCCAGGTACAGCACTGCTGATGGTGGGAGGGGAGGGGAGGCGGTGACGGAGACACGAGCAGCGGCGACCCGGGGCAGCCAGCACGGACAGGCGCGGGGCACGACCGCTCATGTCAGTCACCAGGCGGTTGTATTCATAAAGTGCTCTAGAAAGCCGTGATTTACGTCATCGTTCCACACATACCAAAATTTGATAAACACATAATGAGGTATTGGCAATGTGGCTAAAATATGTCTCACGTACCTGGCATGCATTCCTCTGCATTATGCCACAACGTGACCAGGCGGTGACCTGCTGTCAGGGCCCTGCCCACCCAGACAGCGTGTGGGCAGAGTTAGGGTCTCGCTCACCAGCATGTGCTCCCTGATGGTGGTGGCTGCGTCAATTTGTGCCTTGGAGCCCTGCAGCTTGGTGATGGCGTTCAGATAGATGGCCATCCACTTGTGGCAGTTGGGGTCAGTGGCGTCCAGCGCCAGCGCTCGCTGCACGGTGGCCAGCGTGTCCTGCAGCAGCCGGAGCTGGGCAGCGTCCGAGCCGAGCGTCTTCTGGCGCTCGTAGTTGGCCCGCGCCAGTCGCCACAGTAGTCCGACGTCGTCGCCGCCCTGCAGGAGCCGGTCACGGCGCCGTCACAGTTCACCCTGCTGCCGATGCTGCCGAGCGTCGGTCCAGCCGTGGTCACCCTGCTGCCGATGCCGCCGAGCGTCGGTCCAGCCGTGGTCACCCTGCTGCCGATGCTGCCGAGCGTCGGTCCGGCCGTGGTCACCCTGCTGCCGGTGCCGCCGAGCGTCGGTCCAGCCGTGGCCTTCAAACTACACGGACGCCGTCCCGGGTCTAAGAAGCGGGAATCCCCTATCATGCATGACAAGTCGCGCGGGGTATCCCTGCCCTACCCACGGGCCACTGAGGTGGGGACCCATCGAGCCCAGCAGCAGCAGCAGCAGCAGCAGTAGCAGCAGCAGTAGTGATAGTGTTACGTCTCCGCCGCTCGTAATTCATCCCGATTTACGGCCACGCCGACAGACTATACCTGTTGTAGTCATAGGTGTGGGTTGTTTCCGAGCGCTCTTATGGTATAAACATTTCACCACAAGGGAGCACACGCCTGTACTTTGATCCACAGGGTCACAAGTCTGTATTTTAGCAAACATCAAGCAAAAATGCACGACGCACACCATACCAGAAGTTGGCAACGTATGAACTGAAACCTGAGAAATGTGATGCAATATCAAACATTTGACTGTTTAATCATACGTGCCAATAAGCCAACACATTCACTGTCGTTTCGTGCTTCCACTAAAACATGCCTGGTTGGCACAGACCCCGCTATTCGGAATATGCGTGATCATCGTTACTACACACGTTACCTTGTATGGCTCCAACTGTTCAGCAATCTGATCATATTTCATTTCGTCATAATATTGATCTACATTCTTCTTCAGCTGGTCCACACCAGCCATTGTTACTGTGACAGGTTGGGCTTGCAAATAGTGTTCAATGGGATAGCTCTTGAATTCCGACCCTGAAAAATATTGGTATTCGTCTGGAACTGGATGACCATCATTTTCAGCATGAACAGCGCTGCTCGTCCGGTCGAATGGCAGGATTGCTTACTCGGTATGTCAGCAACAAAGCCCTCACTACTGGAAACCCTGGTGGTGAACATCATCCTCCGGGTGGTGCACAGAAATAGCCTCGTGAAGCCCGGGATCCGATGCACAACCAGCACATCGCTGCGCAGCACCCAACCTCAGGCAGGTCAGGTCAGGACGGGTCCGGTCAGGTCAGGTCATAAGACCGCTCGGCCGTACACCATGAAAACTCTCGCCTTGCATAAAATGTAGCCCGAAATTCGTTGAGACTTACACTGTATGAAAAGAGATAGACTGAAAGTGATGCACAAAATAGGGTCATGATCTTCTATAAAGGTCAGTATATTCCCTGCAACTGAAACTCAATAGGTTTGAGAGTTGGCTGGGTGGGTTTAAGAGTTGGCATGGGTTAAAGCGGAGGCACTGCAGAACATGTGGATGTCACTTCCCAGACCTAAAGGAAATGTTCCAGTTTCAGATCTCATTGGGGATGTCCCAATACGGACATCGAGGAGTGCTTCATTTTTTATGGTTTTCAAAACGGTCAAGGCATGGTTAAAAGTGTACACTTATCTTATTCACGCTGCCATTGTTTTTCTAAAATGCTAAAAGTAATCATATGCTGCGGATAAAGATGCAGCTGTGAGGCGTTAGTCAACCACGGACCAGCAGCGGTGGTCGAGGCGTTAGTCAACCACGGACCAGCAGCGGTGGTCCAGGCGTTAGTCAACCACGGACCAGCAGCGGCGGTTGAGGCGTTAGTCAACCACGGACCAGCAGCGGTGGTTGAGGCTGTAGTCAACCACGGACCAGCAGCGGCGGGCGGCGGTCACGCCACGCCTTGTCTGCGGTTGAGATCATAAGACGGGTTCACAACCAATGAAAAAAGTAAAAGCCAATCAATGTATACCACAATTATTAAGCATGTTTGGCGTCTCCGATAAACAGCGGAGCAAGATAAGTCCCGCGTCCGTGTGGGCCCCAAGCCGGACCAAGAGGGACACTCAACCCCACCGCCAAACTATTGCAGGCCAGTCTGTGTGTGGGCCGGTCTGTACACTCTCCCCGGTCGGCGCCTGGCGCTACAAGGCCCCAGCTCAATACGATGATCAGTTTTAAAGCTGCAAGTTTGCATGGTGGACATGGACAGCAGAGATCCGGACTGGCAATCCATACTGCGTTCAGAAACTGATGGCACGCGTTAGTGATCTGTCCCGAGGTCCACTGAGCCCAACTGGAGAAAGCACATGGTGTATTATAATGTCCTATGGACCCGGAGCGGCAGGCATCAATGCACCGAACGCTTAACACAAGGCCCCGTGTGAGTCCGCGTGACAAAAATTTCGGCTCGTCGTCCGTCGCGCGTCGAAACTTCAGCACATTTGTCGCGTCGGAGAATTCCGAACGCAGCGCACAGAGTGTCTCGCGCCCGGACGACCGGTTAAATATCCTTCGCTGGGGTGGAGGGGGGTGGGGGGGGGGGGGGTAGTTTGACCCCGTGAGATCTCGAAAACTAAGAACACTTAAGCAACAAAATTCACAGGGTGGGTTCGCCTGTACGTGAACTTATTTGTGTCGCCAAAATCCAGATTGGTGTCCAACGTGTCTCATGTCGTCCTCATGCAGCCGTTATGAGCCAAGATACCCGTTCGTGGTAAAACATCCAGATTGGTCCTTTAAGGTTAGTGGCCTTGTTTGACTCTAAGAAAGTCAAGATGGCCGAAATCTATCAGATCGCTCCTATTTTGCCCCTCAAATAATTGTCAGGGATTTCGCTAGGCGGTATGCTCCCCAAAACGAAACCTTGACGTGGGTAATTTTGGGTTAGTGACCTACCCTGACCTTTAAAAATTTCACGGAATGTGGCTGCTGCGATCCGTGCCATTAATGAATTCGGAACCAGCTGGCGTTTTACATCACCAACTGGTACATGACACGCATCGCATCCTGCGTCATCCTGAAACAGTTTCTGTTCTCAGAAACTACCCATCCCATGTCTCAAAAACTTATATCAGTCAAACTGTAACACATGGTTTTGTCAACCACAGTGAATGTGGTGACTTTGGGTAACCCAAACAACTTTCAAATCACTAGGAGTCTATAAGATACTACACAAACTGTCTCCAGCCCATAGGCATAGGATTTTTTTAAGTGGCGAGGGGGCAGGCTGGGCTCACATCATATTTTACACATTTTGCTGGGGAGGCAAACTTGGCTATGAAGGGAACTGGGGAGGCAACCCAGTGACTGAGGGTGAGGGTGAGGGGGAAATGGTGACCTTTGCCACTCTTAATTTATAACAAAACCTTTCAGAGACCATGAAAATACCCCAATTGCTTTAGCATGTATACTTACAGCCGTTTTATCCCAATGCACAACCTTACATGAAAAGCTCACCCATGCCATTTGGCAAACAGGCTATCTAGTTTCCTAAAATAATTCATGCATTTCAACATCATTTCCACCAAGTACACACAGGCAAAATGATGCAAATGAAGGGGGCATGGTCAGTTATTGGGCAGGCACCTGCCTCCCCAATTATGATGTTGAATATGTCCTGGGCCTAGACTGGTCAGAATTTCAAACTGGAATATGTGAACCACACTGCCTCAAAATTTGTTGTGGTACACATTTCCCCAGCTGCCCCTGACAAGACGAGCTCTTGTCACAACATTTTAGACAGAAACAAATTAAGAAGTTTCAACACAGTCTAACAAAAACAATCACAAATTAATATTTTTGTCTTCTCCTCCAAGAGCCTAAACCAAATTTCAGATACTGTGTATGGAGGTGGTCCTAATGATGCTCAGTGTTTGCCTAAAATAGCAAATGACAACTCCAATGTTTCCAGAATTGCCTCTTAACTCTTAAACAAGACTCTGATGTGGGCACTAATTACCTTCCCAATCGTCTCACAACACACGGCTCACACAGCATAGCTTGCCTCCCGCCCAGAATCACATCACACTTCACAGTGCTTACAATTTCGGCACAATTTATCACCATATGCTAGTAAGCGCCCTCTTGCAGATAATAGTCACTGTTACGAAATTGCACAGTTCTTAAAATTCGCGAAAACCGGCTCACCCGCAACTTGCAGCGCCAATCTCACCATTTCGCAAGACGGTGCCAACTTGGAATAAAAACAATGCGTTGAAATGGCGCACACTATGCGCCAGTTAAAAACCTTCCAATATGCGCTGGGAAAACGGAAAGTGACCAATGGTTCAGCTTGTTGTAAATGACGTCATGAGAGCTTGCTGTATGAGTTAAAGTTGAATAAGAGTGTTACCACCCGCCTCACTAGCAGCAGGTTTGAATTTCAGTGCGCCATTGTTGGTTGTGTTGGGCGTGCGCCGCGGTTCCGTAGTGTATTGGTTTATAGGGAAATGCGTTAAGGAGTAGCCAGGCACCATCATCGCAAGCATGTCTGTTTTTGATTGCCGGTAAATGCTCAGAAATTAAGTTTGGTTGTTCTTTGTGCTCAAAAGTATCAATTGGAATCAAGCGTAGTTAATGTTCTTACGGACATCGGGCAACTTGCAAGCTATACTTGCCCCGAAACGTTCAGTGGCATGATGGATCGTCTGAAGCTAAAGAATGACCTGGCCAAGATTCGGCAGGGAAATGGTATGAATGATTACACACCTGGTAGCTACTAAAGCACCATGTATTGTCTGATTTTTTAAAACATGTGACATTTTTTCATGCTTCACTCTGCTACTGGTTTTTGCTGCACAGAAACTGAAAAAGTGCTGCCTGGAGCAGCTGGAGGTCCCAGTCACTCTCATGTGCAGTTGCTTACGTGGTTTTCACACAGCAATCATTTGAAACTTAAGCACAGGTTGGTCTGGCCAGAGTTTGGTGTCTGCGAGCAAGGTGTTTAGCACTTTGATGTTCATGAATTGTCTAGTGTAGTGCATGGGTTGTGCAGACTGGGTATTGCTAATATTTGCATTTCCATTTGAGAGTTCAGGAGCTGAGCAAAGCATAATATTTATTTGCTTAAAACAAGGTGTCTTGTTTGGATGGCTTTGTATAAAAAGAAACATGGAAGCGAAAGCGAGCCAAATATTTGTTCGGGTTTAGAACATTTAGCTTCATAACCAAATAGGTAACCACCCTCTCAGATAACTGCTGTGCTAGTACTTAATTTCCAAAGTCAAGACATACAGACTTATTGTGTGCCCCATTGGTGTATTATGCAACATGTCTCCAATATGGTCAACACAATGTGACTGTTTCTGAAAAAGAGCCACTTGCACACTGGTGCAGTCTGCTAAGTTTTGAGTGGGGATGCTTATGTCAGTCTGCCATTATTTGTATAATGTGGAGTGAGACCAGGAGATCTTATTTTCATACAACCATGAAGGAGAGGTTTGGATCTACAACCAGGAACTCAATAAAGCTTCTGTTATTTTGTGTCCTTGCTCAGTTTGCGGAGGACTTTACTGTGGAGTAATTTGCAGGTAAATGAGGCACTGGAATTGTAAACCTCATCAGGGAGTTGAACCCTTGTCCTGTTGAAGTCATTTTCATGTACCATACAAGCTGAACTAATGAAGGGCCACCATTTTAAGGTACAACTTCTGGTATATGTGGTATTGATCAGAGATATGATATTATGCAAGAAGGGTGTTGAATTTTTGCAAGAAGTCCCTGCACAGTACAGTCCTTTGTGGTCGGTGTATGGAGAGAAACCAACACACAACACAGGAAAAGTGGAAGGGTTTTTGTGATATCCTTCAGGCATCACAAGTACACTTGTTTGATAGCACATGGCATACAATAAGTTTGTCTCACTTATGGGATTCAATATAGTCACATTTGGATGTCATATTTGTATGGTTACTCAACACCTCATTGGCTACCTAACCTGCCTCCATAGATGTCCTGCCTTGCTACTACCTTCACATGTTCCAGCTCCAGGTCTTCCTGTGATGGGGACTGCTCCTTGTCCTGTCTCATGGCAGCACTTACAGGGTGCACATGTCATCACCAAATTCATAGATTTATTTAGCACAAGATGATGTAGCAAGATGCATGCCAACACAAGTAATGGTGCATTCTGAAGTGTACAGGGTGTACCCACCATATGCAGTTATATCAGTCACACTTCATCTTCCCACTCACAAGTCCCAAGTCAAAGATTCGTGAGATTTTGTGCTGAACTCTCCTTGCGCCGTGCCCCAGTGGAGCTGCTGGAGGGCGTGCAGGCGCGGCTGCAGGCGTCGCAGGCGGCACTCGAGGCGGCCGTGGCCGAGACAGTGGCCGCGCAGGCGCGCCGGCGCCGCCTGGTGCAGGCGGAGGCAGAGGCGCGGCGCGCGCGCAAGGAACGGCGGCGCACCGAACAGGAGCTGGCCGATGCCGAGGACCGGCGCGACCTGGCCGCCGACCGGTTCGACCAGATGCAGCGAGGTCAGCCATCGTGCCGCGCGGCGGCGACGGCCGCCATCCGGTTCGATCGGCAGTCTCACGCGAGCCACACGCCCGACGTCTCCGGGCGCGGGGAGGGGGGTGTGAGCGGGCCTCGATCTCTCTGGGCGCGGGGAGGAGGGTGTCAGTGGGCCCCGACGGCATCTTAGCAGCGTGGATGGACGCTCATCGCATCAGAGCTGTACGGTCGAAGGCTGTCCTAGCATGCAGTGAGTTGGGACGCGATGCAGCATCCTGGGGAAGCGTGTTGTGTGTGCTCATACAGCTCCATCATAGATACGGTTTTTGTCATATTCCAGTAAGTCTGGATGTGTGCTTAAGCTCTTTGCTAGTGTAGCAGAGTTGTAATGACTGTTGAGCCAACTTTCCGTTTGCTGGACAGCATTGTCCTCTGCGCTTCTGGAGCTGGAGAAGAAGACGACGAATTACCGCAAGGCCGCCACCATGCTCAGGACTTATATGGGCATTGAGGTGGGTAAACGCTGCAACACATCCCTTCTGCGAGGACTCTGCATTGGGCGTATTTCCCACAGTCGGTGGACTCGGTGCAGACGTTCGCCGTTGCCGCGGATCATTTTGCCCAGACTTTTACGTGTTAGGACTAAAGGTTACACGCAGATCATTCTTCGCAGGGTACTGGAAATATTACGGCACTGTATGGTTGCCTGTCACGATGTCTGCTGTTTTCCCGGGGCTCTATCTGGTGTCTGTCGTCAGGTCGCCTACAGTGGGCTGCGTCGGTGTATATTGCACTCTCCGGTGTCCGTACATGTGCGTCTGTCGGGCGGCCCGGTCGTGCCTGGCCAGTCCCTCTACAGTGCGGGCGGACGCCCACCGCTCTTTTAACCGGTCAGGTACGCAAGTCCAGCTCCTCCACTGAGGGCGTGGCGGTGCGCGTCATCACGCTCACCCGTGTCGACGACGCCGACCCGGAGAGGCCGTTCCACATTCAGTACTCATCTGACGACCACCAGCTGAAGCGTGAGTGGAACGAGGGCCCGGGTCCCCCTGCCGCCACGGCCAGCGAGATGGGGTCGTCTTGGCGTGCACATGAACGCGTTTTAGTTTCGGCTTGAGTGTGTGAATATTTTTTTAATGTGTTAGCGATGGTGTTATCATAGTAAAGGAAAGAATAAGTCAAGCTGTTTACAGTTCAGTTGTGATGTTTTGCATGTATGAGGGGTTACTAGAAGATTCATTAACTTATATGCTCGTGGTGGACGATGCGACTCACCGCCTTTAAGTGGGCAGCCTGTGTGTGGGCCGTAGCTCCTCCGAGTCGTGGCTCGGGACCCTCGTGCCCCGTGGATCTGCTGAATCCTTATCGGGGTTCTTCCGACTCGCGACTCGTGACCCTTGGCTCGTGGCTTTCTCCCACCTGGCTGCAGTGTTTGACCACGGGCGGTCGTTGCAGTGATGAAGACCAAGCCGTCGATCGGCGACCTGACAGACCTGCAGGAGGCGCTGGCAGCGGGCGGCGACCTGGGTGCCTGCATCGCGCAGATTCGTGCCCGCTTCCGCCTGGTGGTGCGCCAGCAGGCGGCGCGGCGTCAGAGGCGGGCGGCGGCCCGCTCCGCCGGCCCGGCCGGCCAGCCGCAGCCGGCCGTCGTCACGTAAGGCGGGCGCGGCCGCACGCTGGATACGGCTGACGAGACGGACACCAAATGCGCCGTGTGTGGTGCTGGTCTCACGTGGTGATCGTGACAGCGGTTTGGCCATGTGTGACGGTTCGGCTGGCGGGACGGCGGTGGCCGTCAGGGCCGATGCTGGATCTGAAACTGGGGGCGGTGGCGAGCACGGCTGATGCCTGTAAAGCCGAGCACGGCCGATGCCTGTGGTGCCGAGTACGGCCGCCACCGTGTGGTGCCGGATACGGACGATGTCTGTGGAGCCTAGTACGGCCGATACCTGTGGTGCCGAGTACGGACGATGCCTGTGGTGCCGAGTACGGCGATGCCTTTGGTGCCGAATATGGACGATACCTGTGGAGCCTAGTACGGCCGATACCTGTGGTGCCGAGTACGGCCGATGCCTGTTGTTCCGAGTACAGCCGCCGCCGTGTGTTGCCGAGTACGACCGACGCCGTGTGGTGCCGGGTACGGACGATGTCTGTGGAGCCTAGTACGACCGATACCTGTGGTGCCGAGTACGGACGATGCCTGTCGTGCCGAGTACGGCGATGCCTGTCGTGCCGAATATGGACGATACCTGTGGGGCCGGGTACGGCCGATACCTGTGGTGCCGAGTACGGCCGATGCCTGTGGGGCCGAATATGGACGATACCTGTGGTGCCGTGTACGGACGACGCCCGTGGTGCCGAGTACGGCCGATACCTGTGGTGCCGGGTACGAACGATGCCTGTGGTGCCGAATATGGACGATGTCTGTGGTGCCGAGTGCGGATGATGCCTGTGGTACTGAGTACGACCGACGCCGTGTGGTGCCGAGTACAATCGAGTATATGTTTATGTATTCACAAGAGTAGTGTCCATGATATAGCTGGCATTGCATCTCGTTTGCAGGAAGCTTCTCGATATCCCACAAATTTAACTGATAAACCATGCGCATTTCAGTTAGTGTAAAGCAAAACATAACCACTCATCCACGCATCATTTCAGGAAATGTTTTACAACCTTCCCCCAAACGCTTAGGCGAATACCCTCT